AAAAAAAATTGGAAAAGAAGGGCAATGATGAGCAATTTTCCATGACGCAATACTTCACTCCCTTCGTGAACCTATTCATTGGGTTTTAAAAAGATGTCGTATGATGCATCACAATAGAGAACACGTACCAAGTTGCTATATGGCTGGACCAAAAGAACCAGTTCCGTAGGGTGTTGTATACTGGCATCGCTGATAGGTTCAGAAAAGTGGCTGATTCTTAGGGAGGGTGGGTACTTTCACACGTGCAGAGGTGTGTTGTATCGTGATGAGACGAGGCAGGGAGAAAATTCGGGTGTTTTAGATGTGGGAGAAAGGTTTTAGATGTGGGAGAATGGTATCCACACGTTCCATGCACATCATACCACGACAGCTCAATTCATTATTCATTGGTAAGGGAGAGGGGCTCAACCAGAAGTTCAGTTTACTTTCCGCCTAGATGGTGACTGAACTGATTACTCCTCCACTCAGCAGTAGATAGAATGAAAAGGAGACAGTTTACAAGAACAGCGGCAGTGCAACGGTGCAGAATCAAGGTTAGGAAAACGAAGAAGAGATCAATGCCCTCCTGTACCTAATCACCCTGATACCCTCCGTGCTTCTACATCTTTCTGTTCTGCAATATGTACTAAAACCGACACCGGCCTGACATAAACGATGTCGACTGATTGAGCTGCAATTGTAAAANTTTGGAAAAAAGCATGTAGAGATAGTAAGGTCCTCCTGAAAGACGTAGTGAAACTACTGCGCAGGAAAGGAGGAGTTTGTCACTGGTATATCAAGAAGTCCAGGAAAATGCAGTGAAATATAGTGATAAGTGATAAGACCGAAATAAGTTGCGCTTTATCATCCGTGAATATATTATTTCAAAAGTACTGCGGTTATTTCATGATTAGGTTACTGAAGGACTTTCCATTCTGTAAATTGATTAATCTAACTATTTATTGAAATGTTCCGTGGTTTAAAGGGAAAGTCAAAGTTTATGAAAGTAATAGTTCATTGCAGAAGGACCTGGTGGCATTGTTAACACCACTACTCACTACAGCTGAACACTGTCTGTTGAAAATGTTAACGGATGATTTGATAGGTTTCAAAAGGATCCCCATCTGCGTTGAGGTTCAAAGGACAAAAAGTAGGAGGTGGGATGGTGATGAGGAATAAACGGCTAACCAAGAACCGTGATCATGGTTGTGCATATGCTGATGAACTTTGATAAACAAACTTTTAAAAAGTTAGGGAGTAGTCTCGAGATGTTGGTAGTGTAGTGGACAATGGCGCAGTGCCTCATAAGCAAAGGTTTGAGTTACAATCCCGTTCAAGAATGAACGATCCCCTTTGTGCTGTCACTGGTATAGTGGACTATGCTGGCAGTCATTAGTAACCCAGATGCAGATTACTACTTGGTCAGAAGACCACCCCTTGATCAAACCAGGGCAAGCCAGAGAGCCAAAAGATTTGTTATGGGCTAACTTAGAGCTCCAGCACTTTATGTCTACTTCATAGTTTTGGATTCTGTTCAAAAATGGAATTTAACCATCAGCAAGCTCCGGGGTTCCTTAAATTACGAATTTCTGAGAACAATATTGGATAGATAGACAAACAATAAAGAAAATTTGTAAACATAGAGTAGTAAGTGCAACCGTTCTGATTGGGGCTATGCTCAATTGAAGGAACCGCGTATGCTAAGGAGTGTCTAGATTAAAGTTGTCGCTAATGTTCTTTGGAAAACTACAAAAAATAACACCATGCTGGAAAAGGGAGATGACACAGAAAATCGATTGTCAAGTCGTTAAATGGCAATTTTACACAGAATGTCGGTACAAGTGGTGGAACAGGTTACAGAGACCGAGAGCGAAATGTAAAAGGAGAGAACGTGAAGCGACCTTGTGCGCCGCTCTAAAACCCGTGTCTCTGAGTCATCCATCATTTTGTTGACCATTAAGAGATACACGTTAGTTCAGTGCTGAATAGAAACGTTGAGTGCTACAATGAACAGAAGGAATTGCATTAAACAGGCGGTCCTTTCAGGTCACCACATGGACTTTTAAACATTTCCTCGTTTTTTCTGCGGTATCAACTCTATGAGAAGAATCTGGACACCGGCGTCGTCACTGCAGACGTCATCACTACATCATCCAGCACTCGCTCTGAGGTCACACGATTACGACCCCAAGGATTCCTTCGTTTGCGCCACACACCCTACCTATCCATTGATTCATTGTAACGTTTGAGTGCAATATGTATGAGTGTCTCAAGAGCACTTGCAGAATTCTTCAAGACAATCTTGAAGACACAGTTCACGATAATTCTTGGTAATCCAGGTTATGATGAAAAACGGAAGACAAGATGGAAAATAGTGCGAGGAAGGCGAAGAAACCGCGTGAATCGATGTTTCCGAAGTGAAAAAAGGCTTCGAAAAATCGTTAAAAAGGAGGCTGGACGAGAATGAGACCAGATGAATGAGGAAGAGTGGGGCGTTTGGACGAACTATACAATGTGGGTCATTGCGTAAGTATGGGTCTTAGTGCGAATAGCTGACTACGGTAAGCAAAAATTCATTCACTTATAAACATAAGTTAACGAAAAGACCCTAGTAACAGCAAAAATAGCTATCATTCAGCCTCTTAAGGTAAAAATCAAAATAAGTATTACAGCAACAAAAAAAATAACATAGATAAAAGAATAAGGAAAAAGCATTGCCTCATCACTCGGCGGGATATGTATACTTATGCGCTTCCGAGGACGCGCGCGACGAAGTTCGTGGCGTCTCAATCGACTCTTGCGTCCATTAATGGGGCACAAACTTCAAGTAGTGTAGTTTGGTAGGGTCAGCTGATCGTACTGTCTACTCTACTTCAAATTTGGGCTCTTGAGACGTCCACCTCGTGCATCCGAGTACGCGCGCGACAAATCGTGCTGCAAAGTCGTGACGATTTGTGCGACTGTGACGCCAATTTTCGGGGCATAAACTCGAAGAAGAGTAGTTTAGTAAGGTCAGATGATCCTTCCAGTCTACTCTACTTCAAATTTGGGCCCCAATGATAGTCGCTAAAGTCGTTCATATCGCCACGAACTTCGCCGCGCAATTTGCCGCGTGCATCTTCGGTCGCACGTAAAAACCGCCCTGCGGCGATCAGCTGAGGGTCTGACATCTTCTCCTCGCGTGTCGAGCTCGCCACATGCCATCGCATGCTATGAAGGGAAGATTTGAGTTTCCAATGGAAGGATACAGGTAGTCGCCGCGGAAGCACTACCGCAGGCCGTGGGATTTCGGGGAAAAGTTCCGCTACCCATCAGCTGATTGTGTGCGGGCTCTAAATCGAATGTTGCAATCTGTACCGCCTCGACACTCGTCTGACTTGACATCGATCGAGAGGCGGGAAGTCCGAGCGATCCGGTAACGGGCACCCACTATGCCCTAGCCGTTGATTTTTGGGACTCGACAGCGTCCTTCCTGTTGCCCTTGGGGGCCACTGGGTATTCCTACAAAGAGCTCAGAAACCATTTTTTTCGTGAACCGTCCCCTTAATCTTCGCTAGGCCAATTGAAATTGATTTCGTGGACGGAATATAGGAAGCATTGCCACTCAATGCGGTACTAAGGTAAGCGACCAATGAAACTAAAAAAAGTTGGAAGAACGAGGCACCTCAGGGAAGAAGAAAGATGTCTTGGTTAGAAGGAAGTGGAGACAGCAATGTGAGGACGCCGGAATGGGATTAACGCTCGGGAGAAAAAGGAATAATAAGCTATTTGTGCGTTTCTAAATAGATCGTGTTCCAACCAACAATTACTGGGTTAGGAAGGATAAAGCTGTGAGTTCCCTAGACCAGATCTGAAATAATCTTCCCGAACTGCTTCTGAGGCAACAGCGGCACTTTCCATCGTCGGCTAATTTTCACACTGATTTCTATTTAGTCTTCGAATGGCCTACATAGTCCTTCTGCTTGCATGTCCTATACATTTCAAGAATTTTCATTTGACACGCTTTATTTACAATCGCTATTGCTCGCGCTAATACAAAATGAGCAACAAACTCGTACTCGTTCTTCACATAGATTGTTTGAATGTTTAAAAAAATCTTCAAGTGAGCATATATTCAGAGGACAGTGAAGATAATAACGAAAAATATTAAAATGTGACTATTTTGATACAAGTACACAATAAAAAAATTTTCTAAGTGAATCAAACAACAAAAACTTCAGCATTTGATGTGTTCTAAAATAATATTGAAGTTCTTGGGCCGATGCATCAGTCCTACTGGCGTGCTGGTTCTCAGGTCGATCGGGAATTCAGGATCTTCGTGGATTTCGTATCGAGAGATCATGTTGGCCAGTATCTGAGAAAAATACCAAGGTAATTCCCAATATTGAAAGCAACAAAAAAGAATGTAGAGATAAAGTTTACAGTATAGCCAAAAAGGATCAAAAATGCAAGCTGTAGCAGGTCTGTAGGAACGTCTGTCTACATCTGATCAATACCTATCTCTAGCACTCAACGCGCAGCGTCTAAGGCATACAGCCTTTACTTAGAGCAACTTAGGTTTCTGATAGTAACTCGACTAACTTTACCAGGGTGACTATGAACGAACTAGGAATCAAAGTTCGCGTTGACCGTTTCTCACAGAATACGCCATGCCTTTATCGAGCATTCATAATCACAGTACTGCATGAAGGTCCATTTCGACCCATTTAAGGGGAAATGGTCAGAACTGCCAAAGTTCTAGTCTATAATTCGTGCTCCTCCCATGATAGCTCCCTGGATACGAAGAGGGACATTATTTAGAAAGGCTGGCAATACATTTGTGAGGATGTTTTACTTGAGAATAAAACCTATTTTATCAGATCATGTCACTCCTTGATAGAAGGTGGTAATAACGAGCTTTCGCTTAGAAACTAACCAAATATAATTCAGCTTTTGCCAGCATCTCACCCAGACATGACCGCTTTCCTATTCCAAATGGAATGACTCGCTGTTCCAATGCTTTTCCTCCTTTCTCATATCTATCAGGGTCGAACTGAAAGCATACAATTCTGAATTTCTTCGACAAGTTTTCAGGAGCAAAGTACTAGTTGTCTGAAATTCTATGTCAATGAACAATAAAAATGAAAAAAATAAATAATAAAATAAAGGTGAACGCCGTTCTTGGGCCTCAACAGGTCATTTAAACATATAGGTGCTGACTTTAGGAATCTCTTAACTGATTTATGCTGATTATTGTCAACATCATCTCACCAGCCCCATAACCTTCCTGAATTCACTATTTCAGAGAGGGAATGCAGGAGAACCGAAAATAATTGTTACTTAGTTGCTGTGACGAGACAACTGTTAAACAATCGAAAGAGCGGCGAAACATTTGTTCCTTCCTCGTCGTCAGTGCCCAGATAACTTTTATTGACTTTTATTCCCCCACTTCGTCTACTTTCGTAGAGAGGTGGATCTGTTGATGTGTCACGTACTCCACTGAAGTTTCATTGCCTCTATATTTACTGTATATAAAAAATTACCTTAGCTGGATTCTTGAAGTATCTTTCATCACTCATTATCAACGATAGTTCTGCAGCTATAGCCGTGTTTCCCGGAACGAAATGCCCATTGATAAGTTTGCCTTCCTTGGTTCGACGCCACAAATTCAGGTTCACTATAGATGCCAATCTTTGCGTTTCCTGAATACACGAGTAACAAATGAAATCCCTTCGAGGAAAGTATTACAGGTAAGGCTGGATTTGAATGCTGATCAAAAACCTACAGGTCCTGTCTTACCTGCTCTTGTAAAAAGAGCTAACCATCCTCTCTGACCGAGGGGAAATTTTGTGTCAGAGAGTGCAACTAGTGTAAGATTCTTGACTACTCACCAGTATAGCAAAGTTCATGTAAGGAGTGTGCTCCCTATCTGACAATGAGACCGATCTATTGCCATTCGTGATCTTCTGCAACTCAGCTCGAATCTTCTCCATAACCTAGAAAATCACTTGAATAATTGGATCGACTATACAAATGGCATCGGCTGTACATACTAACTGTAAGAATTGGAGAACCGAAGACAGAGACCAGCGACACATAAAGTGGTCGAGGACGTAAAGGGAAAAGGAGAAATGACGACCAAGTCGGGCTACGGCCAGAGAAACCAGAGGACTGACCAACTTCCAACCTAAAGCTCCGCGAGGATATTTGGTTTGAATAGCCCTTGCAGTAGAAGTTCGCAGTCTGCTGTCTGTCTAACGTGGTTTAAACTGCTTTCATACCATATGAAAAAAATGAAGAATAAAGTCTTTGGGCGTTTATCAACTGCATTCGAGGGATGCGCCCCGCATTAGACTTCCATTCAGAATCTCAGCGGTGTACTGACTGCGTCTCTGGCCTATACAATGACTTGCGGTGGCCTGCCGATCTACAAGTCACTGCTTTTATCCTCCTAGACGCTGCTTTTATCCTGCTGCCAATTAGCCAACCCTGGAAGGATGGGAGGTTTGATTGGCCTAGGCGGGCATCGATCCGGGGTTTGAACTCGTGACCATTCTTGGGCGATAGTACACCACTTGCCCTACACCACCTCTGATCTAACCGTGTTAGACAGAATATGTAAGTGAGACCCTGATATACCAATCTATCTATGGAAAGCTTACGGTAGGATTTTTGATCAGATGCATCAATCCCCACATTACAGTAATCGCCGTTGTTTCGTGTCCAGCAATCCACAAGTCGAAAATATCGTACACTAGCTCGTCCTCTCTGAATTTCTTTTCATTACCTTATCATTTTCGTTATTTTATTATAACATGCACTCATTATATCAAATGCAAGGAAATCCAAGAACAACAACATTCACTTTACATCGAAGCACTTCGTGGAGTATCCAACAGTGTTAAAGGTCAAAGGGCGCCTGAACAATTCCATGGCTTCCTTACGATTCTGAATTTCGAAATCTCCTGAGTGGGGAATTCTCTTCTTGGTAGAGCCATTGAATTTGGAAGAGAATGGCGGGTAGCGGATATTTTTTGATTGCGCCACGCTCCTGGATTCCATTCAGGATTTTAAAGACATTGAAGGTAAAATTTAAATGTAAAATGACTTTGAAGTTCAAAAGGCGTACAAAGCAGGAATACATTTCCGTTAGTCGGAAATTAAGGGATCGTTAGACTCGAGCAGGATGCCAGGTTATGCGCATAACAGTGGTTCCATTTTTCCCTGAACTATTACCCGCAATCCTGATAGTACATAAGAAACGTGAAAAAATTAAAATCAGAATTTGGGAAAAGCAGTAAGCCGGCTGCCATGTGACAAAATTGCCAAAGAAAAAACTATGATGAGTTCCTGGCCTTGGTGATGATAAAAAGACACGAGCTTCATCACAGATACATAGAACGTGGTCGCTACTTTGACTCATCCATTGCTTTGGAGTCGGGGAAAGAGGTCTTGGTTAAGGACATGCTGCTCAATGTAATCTGATCATGGACAAAGAAGAAAGGGAGAATATACTGAATAAAGTTAAAGCTTCTTCGATGTCACTTACTTGTATGATTGTGAAGGATGTCGACCTTCTCGTCGGTCTTTCTCTATCTTTATAAGGAATGCGTCAACAAAATCTTCACCATCCCCATCCAAAGAGTGCTTACCGGAAGCAATATCCTCTTTCCTGCAACAAACATATCATCACCTTTACATATCTGCTGAAACAGAGTAGCAAACCTTCGGTCAATTCTCTTCTGAATAAATTCCACAAGCTTTTCCTGCGGTTCAGTGAGGGTTTTCCATTTTTTCTTGAAGAATGGCAAATTCAGTGTCCATTTGTCCAACGACATATCGAAAGCTGTCATACTCGCAAAATCTTTGTCCACAAGATGTTTCAATTCAAAAAATTCGGCAGTGTTTTCCTGGAAGTACGTTTTCATGGACGCTTCGCTCACGATCAGTGGAAAGAGAAAGTCGACATGCTAGTACATATGTGGAACTGCTTAGGTATGCAGTCATGATCGAATCGCTCCTGCTATAACTGTTCGGTATACTGTCTACGGTGCTCGTATACTCTCACAGAAACATCTGTCAATTCCTTGTCTCTAAAAACTACTAGGATTGCAAAAGACAAACACCCTTTGGGACACCCTCTGATTCCCGGGTAAAGGCGCAGTTCCCGAAAAAATGGAGCTTCCGAGCAAAGCTCTAAGATGTACCGTATGTAGTGGCATTAGATCGGATAACGGCCTAGACAAGGCCTTATAAGAGCTCTAGATTACACCGGATGTAGGTCATACACACAGGTAGCCGAGTTCCGTAAACCTCAAAGAGGCAGCTCCATTCACAATGGGGCACACAGGTTGAGATTGCAAGCATCTAGTCTTGACCCATGACGGCCGTGGAAGGCTATTTCGGTATTTCGGTTCACTGTGGCCAGCTCTACGCAGTAGCACACAACTGGCATTCGTCTAATTGTAAGTATTCTTTTACGTCCTTGCAAAGCTCATTTTTACTACTTTTTTCCAAATTTTTTGTTAAAACCCTCCGCTTTGTGCTTATTAATTCCATAATTTTGCACAGTGACTTATTCTTTTCGTTTAAACTACGTATCTCTAACTTGAAGCGAGCTCTAGCTTCAAGTCAGTGTTTCTCAGACATGCCCTGCAATGAGCCTAGCCTAGTCTAGCCGGCCCCAGAGCTCAGAATCGTGGGCAGTGGGAATACTAGTAGACCTACAATCCATTCCCCGCTTCTTCTTTCAACTGTTTTCATCCACTAAGTTTTGGACGTACCTCCGTGAAACGCTCGGAGAAGATGATCCGATTGATAACACTGCCGACGAGCAAATCGAAAAATTCATTGGCATTTATCTTGCCTTTTCCATTTACCATCGAATTTTCCACTTTAGCAAAGCTAAATTCAAGGAAATGTAACTTTTCTCAATAATCACGGTACCCTTGATTTTACCGCACACCATAAAATTGAATTACGGTTGTATTTATTCTACTCACAGTAGCAGTCTGCAGTTGCGTATCAGCAGCACACACAGTTAGCTATCCCACTCGATCACCATACTTACGACATCCCAACCCACCCTACATGGGCATGAACACTGGGATGGATGAGGAAAATGCTGCAGTTGTGTACTGCTACCGTGACCAGATTAAGTAGCACCGTAATTTACTCTTACAATAGAGACACTGTACTAACTTGTACTGTAGTTCATCCATGATTCTCTCCTCCATAATGTTTTTCTTCATAGCAAAATCCCGTAATGTTCGTAAAGTGAAACGACGATGATCAGCCCAGAAGTCGCCGCTCGAGAAAATAGTCCCTCGTCCTTCTGTAAAGTTCTCTCTTAAAATAAATTACATGTATACATAAGACACTAAATGTGAAAAATCTTGAATTAACCTCGCTTCACATCGAGAACATAGGGTGTGTATCGATCCGCATAAGCAGCACCGTTGACGATCATTTCTTCCTTCGCTATATCGAAATCTAATATGTGAACCGTAGGTGTTGGTCCCAGCCAGAAGGTAATGACATTACCGTATTCCTTAAATATCAGGAAACATAAGCGAAAATGTTTACTCGGATTCACGAACAAACCTTCTGCCAAACTCTCATAAGCTCAACGATTCCTCCATATTTGATTTTCCCAAGTTGAATTTGATGAAGATTCCCAATTAGTGGCAAAGAAAATGGTCCTTAATCAGAATGACAGAACGTAAATTTGTGTACAGTTCGAAACATAGCCTTTATATGGGAATAAAAAGTAAGTAAATAAAGAAAAAGACTTAATTAAAGCTATTTGAGGATGAATGAAAAGTTTTGATTGATGATTGGAAAGGGATTTTTATAAGACTATCCGAAACTTTTGGGGCAGCGTGGTCCTTCCACCTCCGGGGTAGCATTACCGGCTGCGCCGTCTTTCATGTGCCATAGAAAGGAAACGGTAATAATTATCATCCAGGATTCTCTTTGTTTGACGATAAAGGATAAAGTCTCGGGCGTTGATCAATCCCGTCATGGGGATGCGCCCACGCATTCGACTGTCACTAAGAATAGCAGTGGCGTATTGAACGCGTATGTGGCCTATGCAATGATTTGCAGCAGTCAGTCGACGACAAGTCAGTGCTTTTATCCTCCTAGACGAGTCTGGTACCAATAACCGACCTCGCAGGGATGGAAAGCTTGGCTGGCCCGGATATCGATCCGAGAAAATTCATATTACCCTGGATACGAACGAGCGAACCAACGCCGTATAGACTGAAACATAACCATAGCATAACGCTTCCTCCACCGTGTTTAACCGTCGGGATTTGGTACTTCGGATCACATCGCTTATTCACGGGACGTCTTATATACATTATGCCATCACTCCCGAAAGAACAAAACTTCGGTTCGTCGCTGAACAAAACTTTTTCCAGTCATCGCTATTCCAGGCGAGGTGCTTGCGTGCAAAGTCGGGTCGGGCCTTCCGGTTCTTTGCGGTGACCGATGGTTTTTTGCTAGGACGTCTTCCAAAGAGTCCTCCTGCTCTGAGCTGACGTTGGACAGTGCTTTGGCTGATAGAAATCCCAGAACAAGATGTTACTTGTTTACGAATATCCGAAGCCGTCGCGCGTGGATCGAAGTCTCCCATCGAAGTCATAAGAACTAGAGAGTCGACTCTTGGTGTTGTCTTTCGTGGTCTTCCGGAGCGAGACTTCCTCATAATAAATCCTCGGCTTCGATACCGCTTGGAAACCTTGGAAATTGTGCTTTCAGCGAGATTATAATGTGGGAAAGCACACTCATCTTCGTTCCGGAACAAATGGCCTCAATGATTCCTCCCTAACGGATACTGGAACTACTTCACCTGATCTCATCTGAAAACCTCCCAATATACCATGCTTTGATTAAACATTTCGAAAAATCCACCAACCTGGACAAGAAGAAGCCAAAACGATATGGCAGGTAGCGAGTTTCCAAACTTTTACGCGCTGTTCTTCGAGCTTCTCTTATTTTAAGAATCAAACTTTTGATTTTCGCAAAACCACATTGCATGCTATATTTCCCGCATGATTTTATAATTAATATGTAACTTTGGGATAATTACGATCTCAACTGTCCGCGCTATTCGAGAAATTAAAAAGTTTCCAAACTTTTGACCACTACTGTATGATCATTCCAACCTATTGCTCGCTTTCGTTTCTTGGAATTTGACCGTGAACGGAGCCAGAAGAGTGGGATAAAGCAACCTTCAAATGAGCCTGATGGAACGAATCAGGTCATTCGATTTACACCTCTCTACAGGAGTTTCGATTAATTCAGACTGAATTAGTTGACTTCAAATGCCTAAACTCCTCTTCAACCACTGAATTGACTTACCTGGGGGATATCGACCAACATGATGCGTCCACTTTTTATAGAGGCAATACAGTATGAAAATTACAGCCAATAAGACAAACATCAATCCTGTAAGAAGAAAATGTGGGCAGTAGAAAGGAACATCTGAAAAAAAAGTGAATTTGGTCGATTCGAAGTTTCTTTAGTGAAGTACAGTGATCCATATCAACGACGAAATACCAACGACTAATACCGATGGCACACTGAAGACTTGTTTTCTCCCGGTACTGCATTGTTTTTATTTTTTCAAGTTCTTATCGATGTTTACAATCCATTGCCCTCCGAGGCAATCATAGTTAAGAACCAATTTGAAGTGATCATATCGAATTACGCGAGTTACCCGCAATGTACAATACCGGTCGTGACTAATCGAAAATCAAATCACTCAAAAATTAGTAACTCAACTCCTTCGGTTTTTTTTTTGTTATTCACGGTTAGGTTTTTAGTTGGACACACCATTGCACTCAACTCTTCAATCTCTACGAGGGAGTCCTTCGAAAACCTAGGAAACTTTTCAAGTTTGAAAGGAAGTTTCGACTAACCCTGAGAAGACAGCGATCTGATCGACAAACGATTCCACATTCCAAAAAACATTGTAGAAGTCATGAGCTGATTTCAATGGTATATTCCAATGTAAAAATTCAGTTCGAATCGAACTCTAACAAAAACAACAAAAAAAAAGTAAATTGGTGACACCAAGGACCCTAGTGGGTGTTGTAAGAGGGGATTCAATTCGCTACAGTAACTTCATTAGAAGTTTAGAAGTATAGTACGCAAACAGTAAAAGGATAAAGTTTTAGGGCATAATCTGTTACGCCTGAGGGATGCGCCCCTGCACTCGACTTCCATTTGGAATCGAAGTTGTGTATAGGATAGCCTACACAATGGCTTGAAGGGGAGCCGATGTATAAGTCAGTGCTTTTATCCTTCCAGACGAGTCTGGTACCAATTAACCGACCCCGAGGGGATGGAAGGCTTGGTTGGCCTGGGCGGATATCGATCTGCAAGCAGTTATGAAGTCGAAGGGCTGTGAAGTAATCTCTTTCCATACCGTCTTGCCCAGATCTTTGATTTTGATGCAAAAACAGTAAGAACGAGGTCATAAATAGACATGGCGAGAAGTATTTTATTACTCACCTTTTCAAAAAACCAAACTCAGTTACATAACAAGTATTATATTACAATTATCAATGCCACAAAGTCGGTTTCAAAATAATATTGAAATTCTTGGGTCGATGCATCATTCCGATTGGTGACGAAGTTTTTAAGTCGATAGGAGCTTCGGGATCCTCAGCCATATCGTAACGGGAAATCAAGTTGGCAAGGATCTGAAATACGAGATCCGAAATGCACTTTATGACAATATAGGGCAAATTTTCAGGCCTCAAGGTGCGCATCATCAATAACAATCGGAATAAATTGGTATTTATTTTCATTGTATTTTTTACTTATTATCAATTTATTAGGGCGGAGGTGGTGTAGTGACAAGAGTCGCGCTATCTCACACGCATGGTCAGGGGTTCGAATCCCGGATCGATATCCGCCTGGGCCAACGAAGCCTTCCATCCCTTCAGGGTCGATCAGTTGGTACCAGACACGTCTGGGAGGATAAAAGCACTGACTTGTACATTGGCTGGCCACTGCAAGTCATTGAATAGGCCACATACGCACTCATTACACCACTACGATTCTGAATGGAAGACGAGTGCGAGGCGCATCCCTCAGACGGGATTGATAACTCCAAAAACTTTATCCCTATCCTTATTAATCTATTCAAAGTGCCCTAAGCAGTTTCTACGGTTTCCAAGTAAGATGGCTCAACCATTTTGGAGCTGAGTGTTCAAATTTCACGACACTCAGACCTATCTAGTAAAAAAAACAAAATTTCTCCGTTCTGCAGGCGAAATTAAATTACTGGTAGCTCGCATTCATCTGATCCCCTAATGTAATCGCTTTCTGATAGCCTGGCCCTAAGGAATTTCAATTTTTGAAGATTTGTCCCATGGAAAACTGCTGTTCACTGAAATCCTAAATAGCTTTTTCGAGTCCGATTCAAATAAGTCACAATATCGGAAATGGTTGGTTTCCATTGGTGTTGATAGCGCTATTTGTTTACGACACATGTTTACAATAGGAACTGGGAGATAGTAAGGTTTTTATCTACCTAATTAACCCATTGATGACCTCGACGTTTTGCGGGAAAAGCGCCGCGAGGGACCAGCGCGCTTTTCGTCCACTCGCGACTGCAGCCCACATGTGGACTACGTGGTCCAGAATGACCATTTTTTGAAGTTTACAAGAGAAAATTATAAGTTTTTAGGAATGTTCCTTCAAATGGGTCTGGTAAGAATGCCCACATTGAGTGATTATTGGTCTTTATTATAGAAATGGCGTTCGTTCTAGTGATCGTTCAATTGTGAGTCCAATCATTACCAGAAATCATTTCAGGGAACTTTCACGAGCTTTGCATTTGGTCGATAACAGCGAAAAACCCAATGAGGACCGTATTTTTGGAAAAATATCTCATTTTCGAGATTGTCCAACGAATGATGAATTCACCAAGGTAAGGTACCCCTTCGAAAAAAACACCTTTACAAATTAGAAGATTCTCTAGGACCACGCTGTATGTAGTTTCATTTAGGCCTGATGTAATGTTTTGAGAAGAAAAATTGTAAAAAAAATGGAAATATAGATGAATAAAACAAAAAATACAACTGCAGTCCACATGTGGACTGCACGGTCCCATGTGGCCGAAAAGGTGCAGTCCACACATGGACTGCATGGTCGTCAATGGGTTAAAATAGTTATCTCCCTTTTTTTCGAAATCCGAAGTATGGGAGCCAGTGAAATGGGCATGGGTTTCTACAAATGCTCAGGGATCTTTCCTGGGAGGTCTAAGTATGGCTTTTAAGCCGTCGAGCTCCATACGAGTTATTCGGGAAACATCCGACGCTTCTTTTGAAGAACCAGGGCTAGCCACTCGTAAGAACCTGGTTTCTTCAATAGGTCGTTACAACTTCAATAGTTCAAAAAATGACTGAAAATGGAGTTCATATTGCGAGTCAAAAAGAACACAAACCAGAAAGAGTTCGGCTTTCGCCAACGTTTCTCCGATACACGATCGTTTGCCCAGACCAAAGGGAATCACACGTTGTTCCAGTGCCTTACCACCCCTTGCATATCTTTCAGGATCGAACTAAAAACGTTAGAAATAGTTTTTAGATTCTAATTTTAGTTGTTAGATTGTTAGAAATAGTGATAACATTCAAAAAAAGGGGGAATAAGCAGGCCTTCCAAGGAATCTCAAGGGAAAGGACTTCTCTGGTACAACCGAGTATTAAATTCTGATTGAATTCTAGTTTTTAAGTTTTCTAGTGGTCTCTTAAATCAGAACAAAAAGGAAGTTTGAATAAAGAAAAGGGAAGTGAGTCGATGGTACGAGCGAATGAGAAGTTAAAGACTTGCACCTTCACGCGCAAAGTGACCGGTGACCGGTTTTCTCGATAATAAATCTGATTGGATCGGAATTGGACAGATCTCAGCCTAGCGTTCACTGCATGATATACGCTATTCAAATAGGACACTACCTGGCCTGGATGGAACTTTCCACGCCCCAAAATCAAAATTCTTTTTTTTTTAATAATTCAACGTCAGTCTTTAGGTGGGGATCGATCTTACCCGGGTAGGGAAATATTCTAAGAAAATATGCACGATATTCCTCTTGCTCTGAACCTTCTCCACTCACTGATTCCAGTGTATATAAATTCAAAATCCCAGTTATTACTTTACTTTGATGTAAATCACCTTGTTAGCTTCTTCAAAGTGCTTTTCATCATTCATTATCATTGTCAGCTCAGCAGCAATCGGAGTATTTGCAGGAACGTGATGACCGCCAACAAAGCCCTTTTGCTTAGTCTTACGAAACAGATTCAGGTTCAATATTGAGGCTAGTCGATGTATTTCCTGAATCATCAATGAAGTTATGCATTCAGAATTACACCAAGTAGAAGACATACTGAATTCGAATAGTTATTTTATTGGGTTGTTCGGGAAGTAATTGCGACTTTTGAAACGATTTTTTTAAATGCCCGTTTAGGAAGATTTCAAAAAGTTCGAACGCTTTTCATTTGGTATATGTGCATGAGAGGCCTCGACCATCGACCCCTCGATTACTCATTACTATACCGGTTAAGTAATCGACGAATATCGCTGAACCCTGGTCATTTGTGAGTATAATAACTTATCGTAAATTGCTATATTTGAATTTTTCCAGGGGCAAAATGAAGAAAGTTCATTTCCATTTATAAGTTTGGGATCACTTCGAACATGAAGTGTCAGATGGAGTATTTTCAGCACATTTCACTCCTTTACTTTTATCTTGGTTGAGAAGCTGCAGATATTTCCCGTGATATAGGCAAAACCTAAGATGACCATATCTTATTACAGAGCACATGTGAACACTGGTCTACGACTTTTCTTTCCAGCAGTTTACCACTTTGAA